ATTTTGTTAAAGAACTTAGTGTTCAAGTGACCTTCATGTTTCAATTTTTGTAATTTTCTTAAAATACATAATATCAAGTGAGTTTCATATTTTTTAAATTCGCTATACGAAATGAAAAAATAATTTTACCTAAGTTTAGAATGAAAAACTTTATTTTGAAAAACTATGTATTGTATATTATAATAATTATTTAAGTGGACTAAGTGAGGTTCGGGTTGAGTCGGTCGGGTTACGGGTTAGTCGGGTTCGGGTCAATCGGGTTCGGATTAATCGGGTTGCTGGTCAGTCGGGTTGCGGGTCAATCGAGTTCGGGTTAATCGGGTTGCGGGTCAATCGGGTTGCGAGTCGGACGGGTTACGGGTTGTTGACTTTTAGTCAATTCAGGTGGCAGGTCGGGTTGATCGAGTGAGTTAATCTGATCGGGCTATGTTACATGCTACTGTCGATAAAAAGAAGAAGAAAAGTTCAAATCTATCAAAGCCTCACCAATGACAACAGGTTTCCGTGGGTGTCAATTTGTGGACCGTGGAAGGATGCTAATTGTGAGTTGCGACGTTAATCACCAACCACCACAAAGTCCACAGGCCCACTAACCAAGCCAACTACCAAACGTGGAGGTTCTGTGTTCAGCAAAAAAATAGTACTGGTTCTGTACTGTTCCTCTTTCGCTCCTCTGTTGCCTGTCAGCAAAGGTTCCCTTGAATCCCTTCTGAAGTTCTATTTTACGATTATAGGGTCAAGTTTATTATTATTATTGGCTTATAGCAATTGCGTAGGGATACTCTGGAAGTAGGGTTTGAGGCTTTGAGCCCATTCATTCCCCCAATCCAATGGTCAAACTAGGTGTACCCAAATTAAATTAGTCTTTAAGAACATAGAAAATGGTAGGAATCGAATATTTAGCCCCGAATTTGTCTTTTTGGGTAGCTTATAATTTTCTGTTTCTTTCCTCCCCTCCTAACTCCCAAGTCCCACCACCTCTTCTGCAATTGCCTCTCTCCGTCCGCTAAAGAAGAGAGGGAGCTTGCTGTCAAGGAGGGGAAGGGAATAAAAAGAACCAATGAGTCGTTAAGACAAAAGCATCCTTTCGGAGATCTCAAGGGCCCATACCCTCGATGTTTCCGATGATGCTTCACCATTAAAGAATGCAGCTTTTTGTTCACCCTTCTGTAGAACATCATAAGACATTCGAGAAAAGCTTGAAGCTGATCTGATTGATTGATTGAAGAAAAGCTCAAGGGGTAAAGATGGCAGCTTTATCGTCAGCTCAATGTCATTCCTATTCCTCTAATTCCTTCCCGCCGTCCTCGTCGAACGGCCAGCGACGTAGTCATGGGCTTCTCAGCTTCTCTTCTGCAATTTCCAGGAGGTCTCCTCCAGCTGTGCTCTGCCTGCAGCAGTCTCTGGGCAATTCTCGACCTAATGTCGTCTTAATGCAGGATGGTTCGTAATTACCCTTTTTCAATTAATTGTTCGTATGTTTTTACCTGTGGGTTGGGTGGTTGCGAATTAGTCCAAGGATGGTAAAAAAAGGTTCAATCTTTGATTTATATTCTCATTGCCCAAATGTTTTGTTTTATTATGGGATATTGATTTGGGTCCGAGTATGAGTATCTAAGTATGATTTGGATGGAACTTTGAGTAATGGTGAGCTTAAGGAGATGATATAAGATTCTTTCTTGGACCATTTCATTACGACGAACCGGATCGTGTTTATCATTATCTTCTAGTTTTTATGCATGACCTGAAATTTGTAATGATCTACTGAGTAGCTGTGTGATTAGTACAAGCATGGTCAAAGTTTCAGGCTTTGAGTTGTATTCTCATAGCCCAAATGTTTGGTTTATTAGGGGGCGCATTTCCTTGGGTTCGATTAAGGGTATCTAAATATAATTGGTTGGAATTTGATTAGAGGCAATTACCTTCCAATTGTTATGTTTTACCCCGAATTGTAATTGTAGTTGTCTGATTAGTTCCAAGCATTGTTAAAGTTACAATCTTTCTTTATTCGTAGCCTCATTGCCCAAATGTTTGGTTTCCTGGGAATCGTTTCTAGTCTGATTAAGGATTTCTAATTACCATTTGGATTGGAATTTGATCGATCATAGGTGCTGTGGCAACTCCTGTAAATCCAGCACAAAAGAAGGAAGCAACCATAAAGAAATTGGAAGATGGTTTGCTTTCTTCGTCAGGAATCTCTTCCGAGGAATTGAAAGAGGCAGCTGGTTTTGATGTTAATGAGAATGAGTCTTCAGTTAGTATTACTGTGGTTGGAGCCTCTGGGGATCTAGCAAAAAAGAAGATTTTTCCTGCACTTTTCGCCCTTTACTATGAGGGTTGCCTTCCAAAAGTATATCATACTTTTACAAATTTTCCTTGTAACAGATTGAGTAGTCTATCGATTTGTCATATAATAAAGTTCGTGCATTTGCTGTTGGTGGTTGCAGCATTTTACGGTCTTTGGTTATGCTCGCAGCAAGATGACGGATGCCGAGCTTAGGGACATGGTTAGCAAAACTCTAACTTGTAGAATTGACCAGAGGTGACTTCAGTTTTGTGTTTATTTCGTATTGAGAGTTATGTAAGTTGTCATCTCCCAGAGTATAAACCTTTCGATTTTGTGACTTCCCAGGGAGAATTGTGGAGAAAAGATGGATCAATTTCTTAAGAGGTGCTTCTATCATTCTGGTCAATATGATTCGCAAGAACATTTTGCCGCCCTAGACAAAAAACTCAAAGAGCATGAGGTAATGAAGTGTTCTATTGTAAAGCTGTCAGCAATGGGTTTAAAGTTTACGAATTTGAAAGAGATAATGCTCCATAAAGTGCTTTGTTTTGAGTTTTGACCCAAGGGATCTGTATATGCAGGGTGGTCGAGTGTCAAATCGTCTGTTTTATTTGTCGATTCCCCCAAACATTTTCATAGATGCAGTAAAATGTGCTAGCTCCTCAGCTTCTGCTGCCAGTGGCTGGACTAGAGTCATTGTAGAGAAGCCCTTTGGTCGAGACTCAGAATCATCAGCTGCTTTGACCAAAGCCCTCAAGCAATACCTAACTGAGGATCAAATATTCAGGATTGACCATTATTTGGGAAAGGAACTTGTGGAAAACCTATCAGTCCTCCGGTTCTCTAATCTCATATTCGAACCATTGTGGTCAAGACAGTATATTAGGAATGTTCAGTTGATATTCTCAGAAGATTTTGGCACTGAAGGGCGTGGAGGGTAAAGTTTTTGCATCAAAGTATTTACAGACTTCATCTGGCTGCACATATATTGCTAATGGTCTTTGGTTGTTTTGCTTCTGTTTAGGTACTTTGACAATTATGGGATAATAAGAGACATAATGCAGAACCATTTGCTTCAGATACTCGCACTCTTTGCCATGGAGACTCCCGTTAGCTTGGATGCCGAGGACATCAGAAACGAGAAGGTATTTCTCGAAAAATGCATTATGTCCGATAGTAATTGTCTATATTGGTCATTGTTCCATTAAGCCCAAAAATTAAGGATGCATCACACAAGAAATTACCAGGCACGTCAAGTCGTCTGCTTATGGAGCACGGGTCCATTCAACACTTGTAGCACTATTTTGTCCCTAATTTTTGGATTATAAGCAGATTGGTCACTAGACTTTGATTGTTTACAAACTTCATCTGAAGTTTTCAATAGCTAAGATTGCTACACTCACTTCATCAATCTCTGTCAATCTCTTTGTCCACCTTCTATTATTGAAGGAATGCTAAATTGCTAATCATTGATATTGTATTCAGGTCAAAGTTCTGAGATCAATGAGGACTTTGAGGCTTGAAGATGTGGTGATTGGGCAGTACAAGAGCCATACAAGAGGGGGAGTTACTCACCCTGGATATACCGATGACAAGACAGTGCCAAAAGATAGTGTGACTCCGACTTTTGCTGCAGCTGCCCTTTTCATCGATAATGCAAGATGGGATGGAGTTCCTTTTCTGATGAAAGCTGGAAAGGCATTGCATAATAGGAGGTAGATAGAAAATGCATATACTTTTCAGTTTTGTTGATTATGAAAGAGGCAGAGTTCATTGTTTGCAATGCTTGTTCTCTCTACTCAGGGCTGAGATTAGGGTACAGTTCAGACATGTGCCTGGTAACTTGTACAACCGAAATATTGGAACGGATCTTGATCAAGCCACGAACGAGCTTGTGATTCGAGTGCAGCCAGATGAAGCAATATATTTGAAGATCAATAACAAGGTACCTGGACTCGGGATGAGACTGGACCGTAGCAACCTGAATCTTCTCTATTCAACAAGGTAAAAGAGTTTATAACTTTGAATCCATTTATGCTTGAACTAGGGTCTGCAGATCAAGACTGAGCTTATTTGTTGGGCTTGTTTTAGGTATTCGAAGGAGATTCCGGATGCATACGAGAGGCTTCTTCTGGATGCCATTGGAGGGGAAAGACGACTATTTATTAGAAGTGATGAACTTGATGCTGCTTGGTCGCTTTTCACACCAGTTCTGAAGGAACTGGAAGAGAAGAGAACCATCCCCGAGTACTATCCATATGGTAGCCGGGGCCCTGTTGGGGCTCATTACCTTGCAGCAAGATACAAAGTGAGGTGGGGTGATCTTGGCATAGAGCAGTAGGCAAAAATGTCCTAGGAGTTGGGATAGTTTGATGAAGGTTTTTGTGATATCCTAATGTGTTGTGTGCTAGTTATGAAGGATATTGGAGTTAGATAGAGCAGTTTTTTATGTATGCAAGCAAAAAAGGTATAGGATTGGAAAACATGAAGAATATTGTTGTCTCATTGTAGGAAAATCCTGATTTTACAGGTCTTTCTGGTGTAGTTTTTTCACAGCAACAAATAAACAGTGACAGCATATTTGCCCCCAATTATCAGCAGCATCTTTGAAAGAGAACTATAAAGTGGCATGAGCAGAACTTATTTCATTTATGATTTCTACCTAGTCCCCAATAGGTTTATAGAAGTGTCTAAGCCCTAAGGCAAAAACTTGAGTCAGTAGTAGAAGAGTGTAAGGCAAAAACTTGATTAAGTTTAGCTGAACACTCAACTGCTTAGTTACTCTCTCTAAATCAGCTCTCAGTGTACAGATTTGCTTCCTGGTAGGGGTGAAACTGGGCCACATAGATACAAAAAGCCATTACCAAACCACCCTCACATAATTAACAAGCTAAAGACCAAAATAGAACCACACAACTGACACAAGTCACCAAGCCCATCCCAGCAACAAAACGTACAGTGGTGCCTCCCCAATAAAGCAAATCCCACCCATAACACCAACTGAAACCAGTAGAAACAGCAACAAAACCTCCCAAAAAATGCAGCATTTCATCTAACAAACTTCAAGAAACACAACCAGCCATTAATCAGCAACATAGGTAACACAAAGTTTTCGATCATTCGAATGATTGTAACATACACATTGATCACAAAGTATAAGTAATCGACTTGCTGAATTGTAGATGCAGGTATGGGAATCCATATGTTGAATAGGGTTTAAAATTCGGGAGGGGAAACATCAAAAAATGGGAGGTTTTTGGGTCGAATATGCTGTTAAAGAGATTTGCTTGACCAAGTAGCTGAACATTCAACTGCCTAGTTACCCTCTCTAAATCAGCTCTCACTGAACAGATTTGCTTCCTGTCCTGGACATCAACTATTAATGGCTTCAGTATCTCTCTAAGGACTTCTGCTGCTCAAGAGGTAGAAACTAGCCTGACTTACAGATCCATCCATTCACATTGGTTTGAGAAAGATGTCGGCAGCAGCAAGTTTGCAGGCCCTCTCTTTGTGAAAGAAAAAGAATATCCTATGACCCATTGAATCACAGTTTCAAATTGTTCCACATCAACATCAGACCATGATGTTTTGAGTGCCCCATTTCATTCTCTCAACTAGAGGTTTCTGTTAGGCTCATTAAAGTATAAACCCAAACAAACAAGAAAAAGCAGGTGCATGCATTACAAACAGTTCCCCTTCTAAGGAAATTCCCATTTCATCCAATGGTTTGTCAAATTTTTGCTAGGTCTACATCTTTTGCTGGTCCAAGCAAACCACACTTAATTGTAGTGCTCCCACTTACTTCTGTCACTATCTTTTCCTTGTTGTCCCTTCCTCCATCTCTCTTTTCCTAACTCGCAAAGCCTGGAAAAAAGCATCCATCTAGAAAAGACAAGAAATTAAGCACTCTCCTCCTCCTCCTCCTCCTACTACTACTAATAAATGCTTTGCTTATAACTCCGGGGAAAAGGAAAACATTCCTTCTGCAACCCCTTTTATAATAAAGTCCACAACTTTACCCCAAAGCCATCTCGAATTTTCCTCAACAAGATGAAGAAGGGTAGTGGTAGAAGAGGAAGTTTCATGGCAGTGGAGATTCTGCTGGTTTTCCTGGTTTTCATGGCTGCCAATGCAATCACAGGTGAGGCAGTGTTTGGAATTGACATGAATCCATGCGCACTCACAACTTGCACAGAAGCCTGCAAGAGTCTTTTGGGGGATAAGTTTGACAGTGCCTCTTGCTACCAAGGAATCATATGTATGTGCTTTGGCTAATGGTTTTCCGGGAGATTCCTAGTCCATATGGGAATATAGGTATATAAAGTTTGGTTCTTTGAAGCAAAGGGGGAAGCTTTAGATATTTATTAGACTCTCTCACCCCTGTCTTTCTATCTGTTTGGTGTGTTGTGAATGATGAAACTTGTACTGAGAAGAATCTTCTCAGAGTTTCACCAGGTACATATATGTGCTTTCATGGGGGATCTAAGAGGCCAAACTGCATGCTGTATTTTGTACAGACTTCGAACCTGCTATATATTAAAGAAGATAGATTTTGTTCCTTTTGGATTCTATCTTCCCTTCATCTTCTCATCCACGCATTTGCCCACCTGAGAGAATAGAGAGATTGAGTGTGACCAAAAAGAGATGAGATTCCTGTTATAGAGCCATTTTGCAGCAGAAATCAAGGAATGAAAGAAGGGGAGATGGAAAAAATGAAGCCCAACTTGATATAATAGGACAGTTAAGCTAATATAGCAAATAGATAGAAGATAAAAGCCCGAACTTTTAGACAATTAGGCTGATATAGCAGATAGATAGAAGATAAATGCCCAAACTTCTATCAGAGTAAGGAATCAAAAGAGGGATTCTTCTGTGAATTGGTTCTCTTGCAGGCCTTAAGTTGTTACCCTGTATGCTTAATGCTGCTGCTCTCTTTTCCTCCCCACACCCAGCAAGTATCAGAAGAGAAGAAATTCCAACTCTTTCATCAATGGAGTACTGCAACAATAAACTACCACTCTTCAACAATCTTCAAACCAAGTAAAGTTAACAAGTTAATAATGGAAGGAAAAAGCTTGAAGATGAAGCTAATGTTTGGTGATCTGTCAACAACAAAGCTTTGAAGGGACCCTCCATATGTACCCAAGATGGATAGCACTAGTATGGAGAAATTCATTGGTAGAGCCACCATAGGCCATCAATCAATCAATCAATTACCATGTGCCCATTATTACTGTTATCAACTAACTTCGGTCTTTTTGGTGTCATTAAGGAAAAGTCTTTAGGATGTATAATAATTAAGTTTGAAAATTTACATGCAGCTTTGTTTTAACAATTGGAATAAAGTCATATTAGGAGGCTGATTTAGGAAGGTGGAAGAAATTTGGTTAGAAAAGTAGAGGGGATGCGACTAAAGGAGTCAATACAATTTGTTTTCATGGTTATTCTTCATATGAATTAGTTGCTGTTGGATAAACATCAACATGGAGCGCCCATGCACTCACCTAAATTTATGAGCCCTAACTGTACATGGGCGTTGGGCCGGCACGACACGAGCACGTTTCAGACTAATTTATTTTGTAACGTGCTTGGCACGGACCGTCAATTTTCGCGTCGTGCCGGACCAGCCCATTTGTTAATTTTGCTAGACTCGGCCCGGGCACGATTTGAATCGTGTCGTGCCTATTCGTGCTTGTATCGTGCTCATATTCGTGTTTAATGAAAAGAAAGAAAATAAAAAAGAAGGAACAAATTGGACAGAAAATGAAAGTATTAACTAAGAATGTTTGAGAAATATAACAAATAAGGGGGAAAAGAAAATTGAAATAATGACAGATGTGATTTGACTTTGTTTAATACTTCGTCCATTTTTACTTATGGTAGTAATTATGTATATATCTTTATGATCACTTCAAATAACAGTAAATAAATTTTTTTTGTACTTGTATTTTATAATATTTGAATCTATAATCATTTTTATATTTATTCTCCATCAAATAAATATTCTTTTCGTGCCATGTTCGTTATTATACTCAAGAAGGTCTCAAAAACATTAGATCTGGCACGACCCACTAACCGAATTCCCCAAACTGTGAAATTTAGGCCCGACACGGTCCATAAATTATTCGTGCTCGTGCCGAGCCGGCTCATATATTTCGTACCCGTGTTCGTGCCGTACTCTAACCGTTTCGTGCTAACCGGTGGGCGGCCCGGCCTATTGCCCACGTACAGCCCTAACCAACTTCCCCAAACTGTGAAACTGATGAGTTTTTTTTATACAAGATCCAAACTGATGAATGCATGTGACCAAATTATATCCACTGGGTAATCTTGATGATCATTCATATAGTATAGGCAAAAGTACATACACATCAATCAATGATTTTTTTTTTTGACAGTAATAATCATCTTTTATTCCATCACCAATACGAAGAAAACAATTACAGACATCAAAGGAAATCAGAAATTAGATCAAGAACACTAATCCAGTTAACTGGGAGAGAAGATCTAGCAAGAGATCGTGCAACCCAATCTGCTCTGACATTACAATTACGTGACACTGCGTTGACCTTGATTTGAGGGTTAGCTCTAAGGATTGACACCATTGATCCAATCCCAGCTGCTCCTCGCCATGGCCAATTTCGAGAATCTTGATTAAGAGCTTTGACTAACGTCTGGCAGTCCGACTGGACAACACATTCAGTGCCACATTCTTGAGCTAATTTGAGACCTTCCAAGAGAGCTTTTGTTTCGGCTTCGAACGGGGTGGAACAAAGGAGAGTGTCAGCTCGCCCGTCACACACTTGTCCATGATGGTTAATGACAACAACACCATATGCCGCCGGCTGGGAGTCATTTAAGAATGACCCATCACAGTGAATCACAAAATTATGATTGCTTGGCGGTGGAGAAGTGAGTGGGTGGGCTCCCCTGAGCTGAGGAGAAGGATGGGTGATGGGGGGGACCCTCGGACAAGTCGTCCATTCAGTAAGATCCTTGTACGTTCTCGTAATAATATTCGGATGCCAAGGGATCCGATTCTTGAATACACATTCATTTCTTGCCTTCCAAATATTCCAGCATAGGAAGATAACATGTGTCATGGCTCCTGAGTGGATAGCATCCTTGATAAAGTACAACCAGTCAAGGAAAGCAGTAGATTGAGCCGGAACCGGGAGAGAAGGGAAGATGGCGTTCCAAGATTCTCTTGCGTGGTCACACATGAAAAGGCAGTGTCTGAGGGACTCAATAGGGCATTGGCACATTTGACACGTTGAGTTAGGAGAGCACTTCCTCTTAAAGAGTTTCTCTTTTGTAGCAAGACCGTTCTTAGAGCATCTCCAAACGAAGAACTTAAGCTTTGGAGGGATATCAAGGTTCCACATCCATTTCCATTTCTCCACATTATCCATCGATTGGGCTTCCATTGAAGATAAGTGCACCGCATGGTATGCCGTCTTAACAGTGAAGTTTCCGTTCTCATTCAATTTCCAAGCCCAGAAGTCCATTGAGTCCATTTCCCCAATGGGAATTCTTAAAATAGCGTCCATCTCAGAAGTAGACACCTGCCCTCGGATCAGATCATTATTCCACTTCCTCCCCTCCTGATCGATCCAGGAACTGACTCGAACATGGTTTTGAGGTCCACTCTGAATGCTTGCCTTAGGAAGGGAGGGAACCCAAGGGTCTTGATCAATCCATGATTCATCTCCTGCCCCAATCACTCGCACTGCTCCCAGATCAATGACTTTCTTGGATTCCCAAAGGCTAGCCCAGATCCACGACGGTTTGCTTCCTTTTTTTGCCGAGAGGAAGTTTCCTCTAGGGAAGTAGAGCCCTTTGAGAAGTCTACTCCAGAGTGCATCAGAAGTGGTCAGAAGCCTCCAGGCTTGCTTTGCCAGAAGAGCCAAATTGAAATCTCTAAAGCTTCGAAACCCAAGACCTCCTTCTGACTTTGGGGCACAAAGAATTTCCTTACTACACCAGTGTAGACTGCTCTTCTGCATTGACCCTGACCAGAAGAAGTTACAGAGAAGAGAATCCATCTTCTTCGTTAGGGAAACTGGGAGAAGGAAGAGGCACATAATGAAGGATGGGATAGCCTGAATCACGGATTTAAGGAGCACCTCCTTCCCTCCGTGGGAAAGAAGAAGGCTCTTCCACGCTTCCCCCATCTTTTCCATCCTTTGTATAAGGAAGTAGAACGTTTCTTTCTTAGAGTTTCCCCACTCGGTCGGGACTCCGAGATACTTGGAATGACAGTTGGTAGATGCAAATCCAATTTGATTGATGATGTCATTCTTCTCCTCTGTTGGAACATTCGCACTGAAGAAAACTTACGATTTGTTGACATTGACCTCTTGCCCAGTGATTGCTCCATAATCATTGATGATTTCCAAAATTCTACCTGCCTCTTGAATATTAGCTTTTCCAAAAATGACTGTGTCATCAGCAAACAGACAATGAGTGAGGGTGGGGATCCCTCTCATCTCTTTATCTAGATTTATGTTTTTTAGTTGCGAGATTATCAATAAATATTAAAATAGATGAACCATAGTAACATTGAAAAAATTCTTAAAATGAATTTGCACAAATGAAATCATAATTTTTGTTTCGTAACCAATAATGACAAACTTCATTTCCCCCTTTTCTTGATCCTGCGGCGGATTCAGAATGGGTTAGAGTATTGGCCTGCATTTAAAAAAAGTTGGAGAGAATTGGGCCGTAATCCTATAAACATTGAAATATATACCTAAAATCGGAAATATACAATTAGTATACGAGCTTGGATCCGGGAGGGCTGGGCCGTGGCCCAAGGCGGCCCCTAAATCCGCCGCTGCATTGATCAATACTCATAAAAAATCAAAACACTTGTTTCAGTAAGTTAAGTGGCGTATCTAGAAGGTAGATGGAGCAGGCTGGAGAGCCCATCTGTTATGATTGGCACCAAAAGTAAGAAACATGCATGAGACTATGAGAGCCAAAAAGACACCTAAATTTCAAAGGAGCACACCTATATTATTGCTATCATCTGCCGTTGTAATTAAGGATGAAAGTTTGTTATCAGTATTTGAGATAATAACATATTGAATTTATTATGATTTGATATCCTTGAATATGGTGTTATTTTTGGAGATTGTGATTGATTTTAGTGTGTTATTTGACATTTGGGTTACGGAATTTAAATTCGTGTATATCGAAATACCGTGAAATATAAAAAAAAAATTATAATTAATTAAAGTTAGCCTACATCGTCTCGCCGTCCCTCACTCTTTGACAACTCGCAAGGTCTCTCTCAATATAAGCTTAGCTTTCAAGTTTTTCTAGGTCACTCTCGTCTCTCACTCAATCTCTTGTTATTTTCATATTACCAAAAAGAACCAAATCAGACCATACATACGGTTTGCGGTCCAGACCGACATGCATGGATCATACCATATACTATACGGTGCAGACCAGACCATGCACGTACAGTGCGGTCCTATACGATTTGGACCAAGCAGACCATCTTCAGTAAAACTTCATTCTTCTCCAACCCTCTGATCCCTCTTAGTATCCATAAAATAAAAAGTTCATTGCCCAATATACTAGTGAAACAAAAAATTAGTCACCATAATGAACCCACGAAGAAATATGTGGAGAGAAGAGTACTTTTTTCACTCATACTTCAATATCCACTACTCTAACGACTATCCACTTAAAATAAAAACACAACAAATAACTTCGTCTCCATCTTTCTCTTTGTGTTATTGCTTCTCTCCCTCTCCCAGGTGGTCTAAAAGGTTCTCACACATAATCCCCACCACGAAGAAGTCAAGATTATTTTGAACCACTAGGTTGGCCGTTTTGCTCGATATAATTTCCTTTTATCTCACTCGGGTAAATCAATTTTGTGCTGCATTTTTATATAATCGACTCTGGATTCTATTCATGGATATTGAGATGATTTCCCCATCTTTTCTTGTTTTTGTGTGGTTCTTTCATTATGAGATAAAACAAAAGAGATCGCTTGAGCAGTCTGTTGGTTTTCAGTTGGACAAAGAATCAACAGATTTGTTATGCTTATAAAAAAAATCTACAATAGGAAGATCAAATTGTTTGTTCACCATGGTGGGATTGATCAGGCTCGATTTGTTCTTCCAGATGCATAAATGGAGATTTAGTGTTATTTTGATTTGGATTAGTGGCTAGTAGGTCATGGTCTACCACGGTTTACTGCGGTCCAGACAGTATCAGACCACACACTAAAAGGGGAGATCACAGACCAGATCAGACCATAATTTTAGTCTCACGGTCCAGATCAAACTGTACGGTCCGGTCTAGACCTTGGTTTCACATACAGTTTGGTCTAGATTTCCAGCACTACTTGTAAGTAATCTCAAAACTCTTTGCTTAGTCTCATAGCCCAAATGTGAACCTGTGAGGAATCCATTCAATAGAGACTTTGATTTAATCCATTCAATATGGACTTTGATGAGTTTTTAGGCAAAATACACTTTCATAGCCACAACTTTCAAGTTTGTGACAAATATAGCCACAACTGTCATAAAACACAAAATAACCACTTTCGTTCATTCCTTTAACGATGTTAGTTAACTTTATAACTAGATTAACGAAAATCTGAGTCAGCGATATTTCGTCCCCAACAATCCATGTGTATTAAATTAAACAATTAAAAAATTAAACATTCGTCTCCCCACAACCTCCCATCTATCTCATTGTCACCCCATCCACGTCCTTATCCCACCAGTCCTTCGCCACCACCACCATCTCCTTGTCCACCAGCTCCACATAATCGAGTGGCTCAAGGAGACCCAGAAAATTTTATCACCACTAAGGCTTTCGCAAGAATGCAGCTCCCCCGATGGATCTCCCATTTTCCCTGCCGTTTGAATCTCCCTCTGACTGGGCAAAATCTCCCACACCATTCCGCTCGCCGCTTGCAATCATTGTCGCGTCGTAGCTTCCATCAGATCAGATAAATATCCATAACCTTCGGCGCTTCCTTCCCGTCCTCCCCTTCTTGACATCATCGTCGTTCGGCAGCACTAAGTCAGGTCTAGATCTGTAAATCTCCCGTAAAAAGTACATGGGGCCCTAACAAGAAATGAAAACATATACAGATCCAGACCCGTCGACCGTCGAACTTCCCACTTCATATTCCCTTTCCAATCACAAAGTCTCCCTCATCTGCTGCAGAACGAATATCGAGTTGTTTGTACTCACGGATTCAGATAAGGAATAGTGGCGTCAGTTCCCAACTCGTGCACGATTTTGCTCGTGGGTTCGCAGGAGCAGATCGTCGGCATCATTGTGGTGGGGTTTATTGGATTTGAGTCTAAGGTTTGAGATGATATTTTTTCAATTTCTTGTATTTGATTTACTCTTGGTGGGTTTTGGTGGGTTATTTTCCATTGAATTCTTCGATTGATTTTTCCCCTAATGGGTTTTGTTACCGACGATGAGAACTTCTCAATGGACTAAAAAGAAGAAACGATGAGGGGCGGCAACAGGGAGTGACGACATAAGAAGAAGAATGCAACGGGTAAGGAATAGGGGGGAAATTATGGGAATATATTTTTTTGGTGTTTTTAAATTTAAAAAATAATTATTTTATAATTCAAAATGATGTGGCAATGATATAATGACTGGTCGTTGATGTGTGCGATGATTTGACATCTTAGTCACCCTAACGTTAATCTAACTGCGGAGTTTCTAACAACGTTAAAGTTTCTAACGAAAATGGCTACATTTGTCAGACTAGCATCCAATTTTTGGGCTATTTTGTGTTTTTTTTTTATAGTTTTGGCTATATTTGTCACAAACGTGAAAGTTGTTGCTATAAAAGTGTATTTTGCCTAGTTTTTATTAGACTTTTCTCAACACAACTTTCCATGAGCAAGGTTTTCAATCCTGAAATGAAACGTACAAGCTTACACTATATAATTATGTCCAGAACTAGAGATGTTCGAATAATTATTTATCTATGTACATATTTAATTATTAATTATGAAGGCAACTAATTTGGTATCGATATTGTACAAAAATATATTGAGATTTAGATTGGGATACCGAATTTATTTTGAGATCGAGATTGAGATAGATTTTAGGATACCATTTTATATACTTTGTGTTGTTGGTTCATATATCGTTTATTATCCGGATTGTATACTTTGTAATAGTAATTTATACAGTTTTATTATATGGTTTGTATATTCTTTCTTCTTGTCGGCTCGTATACTTTTATAATCAAGTTTGTATAGTTTGTGTTGATTTGCATATCATCTGTTATTGGTATGTTCATTTCTATATTTTGGTTTGTATACTATCTACTATTGATTTGTACACTTTTATTATCTTATTTGTATACTTTTATAATTTGTTTTGTTGGTTTGTATACGTTTATTATTTGGTTTCTAGAGTTTGTTTTATGGGTTTGTATATTTTCATTATATGTTTTATATACTTTTTATATTAGTTTATATTTTATTTATAGTTAAATCAAAATTTTCATTAAGCACGAATAACCCAAATTAACACATATGAGTGCCTCTCAACTGATACAACCATCACAATGGTAAGTTACTAGCTAATTACAAGCTAGACATAACTATCTAATAGCCCTACTCCGCCAACCGAGTCCAACCCTTCTGCAACACACTATCCTAGAAAGCACGAGAAGACAACACTCTTTTGAGTTCAACACAGACATAAACTGGGGATTTCGTAGCATGACAACCATAAAGTCTTGAACTCCTCTCCCACCGTAACATACTTACTGCAGGACACCAGACAGCTCCACAAACAACTACATCTGCAGATTTACCTCTATATTTCATAGCACACCACTTGACAACAGATTCCCAAGTGGAGCATGACTGTGAAAAATGCCTGCAAGAATACACTTCATATACGAACATTCATAGAGAAGATTGAACTAAGTTTCAACTCCCCCATGACATAGCAAACATAAACCAGTGACAGGCTTACCCCAATCAAGCAGTTTATCTTGATTTTTCAAGAGAGAATGCATAGATAACCATAAAACAAAGCCATGCTTTGGAATAATCTCACGACTCCAAGCTAGATGAAACCACTCCACCTCAGCTTCTCTAGACCTTATCTAATCCCAAACTTCTTGATCGAGTACTTAGACATTTCAGCCCCATCCCATTGCAAAGAGTTCCGAATAACAGTAACATGAGACAGGGGAATCACATATACCTACTTCTGTATTAACTAGCCTTCTCCAATTTTGGATGTATTTGTTTCTCCTCTCAAAGTTAGTCATCACAAAGGTGGAAAAATATTTAACCAATTGTTTTGGGATCTACTAAGGATGGACAAAAGAAAAGGGTTGCAGTTTCATGGAAGAGTTTGGCTCGTCCTAAGAAGGAAGGCTGTAGGGGCGGACCCAGCTATGGGTAAAGGGTGTCGTCTGACAGACACCCCTAGGATTTTTGAGAAGGGGTGTCGCCAATAAAATACAATAATAAATAAACAATATTAAATATTTAAATCAAAAAATTTAATTCATAATGTTCACAATGTCATGTTTACAATGAATCGCGACGGCTTTTCATATTCTGAAATGTTTGTAAAATACTTTTATAGCTTTTGTTGTAAATCAAACCTTTTTTAATATACACAACTAGACAATCATTCATAAATTGGTCACGCAAGTGATTTCAAAAATCATTCCTTGTTATGAAATATAGTAAATAAGTGGACAAAAAAAGTAGTCCTAAAACCATATCATTAACAAAAAAATTCCAATTCTACCAAATTAGAAAAAAAAAATCACAATCTACCCCAAATCTATTCAATTCACCCATTAATTACAAAGTGACAAGTAAAATTCGGAAAAAATGGGAAAAGGAAAAAACCATAAAAATTGAATTTTAGGTCATATCTCCAAATTATTTACATTTTGATTTGTGGCTACATGGAAGCTTGAATTGGCCGCCTATGCCTTGCTCCTTAATCTCGAGTATCAGCTATCGTGAGAGAAAGAAACAGAACACAGAAGGAAATGGAAAAGGAAAATAAAGGGGAATAGTCGCATGGTTGGTCTCTAGTGGTAGGTTTTTTGTTTTGTATTTTTGAAATTTTCCAATAAAGAAAGGACAAGGCTGAATGGTTGAGAGGTGAAAGGCAGTATTCCAACTTTCGGGGGTTTTAAATAGTAATTTATAGAATTAAAGATTATTTTAAAAATTTAAAATGAATTACTTTAATTAAAATTTAAGATGAATAAATTTTGAACAATAACATTATTTTAGTGTAATGAAGGGGTGTCGCTATAATTATCGGAGCGATGTCGAAAATACCAAATTAAAATTTGTTCTACCAAAAATACGTAGATCCTTCACAAAATTTTCGAGCGAAGGGGTGTCTGTCAGACGACACCCTTTACCCATAGCTGGGTCCGCCCCTACAGCCTTCCTGCTTAGGACGAGCCAAACTCTTCCATGAAACTGCAACCCTTTTCTTTTGTCCATCCTTAGTAGATCCCAAAACAATTGGTTAAATATTTTTCCACCATTGTGATGACTAACTTTGAGAGGACAAACAAATACATCCAAAATTGTAGAAGGCTAGTTAATACAGAAGTAAATAGTTAAACCCTTCCTGCAAAGCTCAATGAATTTGACCTCCAACGTAGAACCCTCTGAGTTATCTTGTCCACTTTCACCTTACAGTCCTTACATGAGAGCTTACCCGTGAGTAAAGGGACTCCAAAGTATCTAACAGGAAGCTGACCAAAAGGAAATCCAAAATAAGATGAGATATATTGCATTTCTTCCCTATGAATCGCTACACAAAATAGTTGACATTTTGAAAGGTTGCATATAACACCTGATAGAGTGTAGAATTCTGCCAATAATCTGTTAAGCCTTGCTAGTCCCCATAGTGAACCATTTATAAAAACTAAAAGGTCATCGGTGAAGCACAAATGGTTAATGTTTAGGGGTTTACACCTTGGGTGAAGGAATCTGGTTCAACACTACTGCTCTCTTCGTCAAACCATCAAAAACCTCCATAGCAATAGTAAATAAGTGCGGATACAAAGGGTCTCCTTGCCTCAAACCCTTTTTCATAACAAAGTATCCACATAAAACTCCACTTAAAGTTATGCTTATCATTGAAGAGCATACACAAGCTTTTAAAAAATCAAGAAATCTCCCCCTAATCCCTATACATACAAGCACATTTAACATGAATTCCCAACTCACAAAATTAAATTCTTCGTTATATCGATCTTAACTGCACATCTAGAACTTATATAATATTTATGGTAATCCTTACAATTTTGATGCCAAAAGAATGTTGTCACTAATCAATCTTCCTCTAATGAAAGCAGTCTAAGAAGGACGTGTATGAACCTTTGCCACAAGTGACATAAGTGTGGCATTGAGTTTCTTAGGCATATAGCCATATACCCTTATATCAAAAACTAAATGACCACACTTTCAACATAATTTTTTTATTAAATCCCAGTGTAAGTGAAAGAATTCTGCAGGAAAACCATTCGACGCCAGCGCCTTATCTCTTCCCAGATTCTTAAAGAGTCCGAATTTCCTATAGCGTAACATCCCTATTTAGGAAGTCAACTTCCTCTTCATTTGCTTTTAAACTCAGAAGGTCATGAAGGTAAACCACGGAGGATTTCTTAACATCATTATCATCCTCCCCAATGAACTTCTTATAGAAATAGACTACAACTTCTCCCATTTCTTCACTTCGGTTACTTCAACGCCATTAGCATCCAAAAGTTTATTTGTATGTTGCTTATGGGTCTGAACCCTGACCGATCAATGAAAGAAAGATGAGTTCATATCTCCCTTCAAGACCCATAGGACACAAGATTTCTATCTAAAGAACAACTCTTCTGCCTTCTGAATCTCCTTGCACTTCAAAGCCATTTTTGTTTCTTTCTCAATCAATGGAGGGCAAGGGTTGGCTAGCACTTCAAACTGGAGTTGCTCGAGTTGAGACTCTAACTCACTGGCCTTGGCAGATATATCATGGTAAACTTCTCAATTGAGTCCCTTCAAATTCAGCTTTAGTTCTTTGGGACCTCCTACAGTACCTTGTACTTTTTTCAAGTTAGGTGACTTGCTTTCTTTTTCCACAAATCTGAGCCATTAAAATTGACAACAGGCCATTACAACCATTGATCCTTTAAAAAAAAAAACACACGCGAACCGGTTGTACCGGTTACGCCTGGCCGCCGAAAATGTCGCCGGATTTGTAAGGGAAGAGATCGTCGGTTTGAAAGCTAGGTTTTCCCATGCCAATTAGGAGTCGGTCAAATTGTTTATGCTTAAAATTAGGTTTTCCCAGTTCCCCAGTTGTTTATCCGCCGACTTTCGGGATCTCTCTGTTCCGTCAGCCGCCAGCAGCACCCACCGCCTCCTCCTTCGACGACGGATCCGACACCGCACGGAACTGATCGGCACCGTCGGGGGAGACAGGGACACGAACGCGGCCTCACAGCCTTCACCCGCCTCTGTCGGGTCTTCGCCGGCGCCTCGGAATCCCTCTTCGCCAATTCCAGATCGCGGCGGTACCCCTATCTGAAATCGCAGCACCAGTTGCGGTACTTCTCCAAATCCCTCTTCGCCAATTTCAGATCTAAGCTCCTTTGATATCAATTGAGTCTTCAGTTCCCCAGTTGTTTGTCCTTCTCCTTCAATTGCTTTTTGTAATCGACGATCTCCTCACACTTCTCGCTGCGGCAGGGGAACCCGTGCGACTATCCCAGACTTCGGCGACTATAGACGGCGGAGGGGTGTTCGTGGAGCTGTGTTGAGACAAGCTGAAGGTGGCGATTAGTTTGAAGGACTGGACTCCAACTTCGCTTGCAGTTGGCGGCTTTGAAGGTGATATAATGGTTTTTGTCCTTTCTGTCTTTTTCTTTATCTTGGATGGTCTGTGTTTTGAAGACTTTGAATATTGGAAAAGAAAGACAGCAAGCGTGTTTTAATTGAAGAGAGCTTTGTTGACTGTTGTTCATTAAGTTTTCTGTTCTTTTTTACGTTTAGCTTTAAAGTATGTTTTAATTGATATTCGTTCTACTCAATACAGCTTACAAATGAGTATGATGGGTGAAGGTATTTCTTCACAGGTTGACGGTGAAAAACAAACTAGAAAGAAAATGGTATTAAGCTTATGAATTTGTTAATTATTTATTGAGTTTATATGATGTATTTGTCCCAAATGAAGTTGTAATAAATTTAAATTCACAATGTTTAGGAGAAGCAAGAAGCCGACAATGATAAGATCGATGCTATGGATGCTTCAACAAAAAAGGTTTTTAGTTTTGGTTCTACACGTTGAGATATGCCCTATATATTTGTCTATATAATAACAATTCACTTTTTTCATAATTCAAATAATGTAGGTATATTTGAGCAGTCGTTGTGGCGTACAAGAATTCTCTGGACTCGTAGAAAGTTTATCTGATGATAAAAAGAAGGTCATTCTAGATATGGGATTTGGAGGGCTCTTGCATCTGAAAAGGCATAAATTGAAGATGCAACTTCTTGAGGACCTTATGATGAGGTTTAATGTGACTACTAGTCAACTAAGTGTGCATGGTAATCGTCTTACCCTAAGTGTTAATGATGTTGTCACCATATTTGGTTTACATGATGGGGGCATGAATGTGGAAACCCAACTTGGCGAGGATGATGAAGTGAGGGTAAAGTTTAATTTGGGTACTGGACAAATAAAATGTTCCAGATTGAAAACAGATGTGTTAGACTATTGAGACCATCAACTGCGGTTCATGTTCCCAACAATTATTTGAAAATATTGGCCAATGTTAACGTTACGGGGAACTTGAATTGGGCGAAGTTCGTCTATGATGGTCTTTTAGAGGGTATAAAAGATTATCAAAACAAATCGGATGGAGCATCAAGAGATCAACACGTGACTGGATGCGTTTTATTACTTAAGGTATGTGAGTTCTATTTTGTAAGTAAGTTTTGTTAGTCAAAATGTCGTAATGTTTACATTTTCAGACTATCAAATTGGATGTTAATCTCTTGTTTTGTAGATATTTTACCTAGAGCACGTGAATATGCATAACTTGACTCGTCATTCAAACTCCTTACCACGCATACGACATTGGGATGAAAAGTCCATTTCGAAGATTGTTAACAAGGTTTCCAGTTTAGGCGGAGTTGATTGCATACAGGTAAATATTAATATTTTTGGTTAAATAATAGACTGTGACTAAAACTAATCATTCAATTTCTTTGTATGCAGGTGGGATTTGGCGGAGATGCTAGTAGTTGTTTCAAAATTGAGGTTAGATAGATTTTATTTATTTATTATGAGTGTATCTTATACTATCTCATATCTTAAATTGATGAAGTAATGCATTATTGATAGAATAATTTAATTGTTTATTTTATTCATGTTTGACACAGGATATTAAAGTAGAAATTGGTCTATTGAGAAATGAGTTCCAAAAAGATATGCATTCTACGAAGTCACAATTAGGTGAATTGAAAAAGGAGATGTCTGATGCCATGTCACAAATAATCACAACTTTGGGCACTGTTCAAAGTCAGTTGCAAAGTGGAGGTCCAAAAATAATCATAGAGGATGAGCCGACGACTGTGCATGTTTTTACAAGAAAACAAGAGGAAGTTAGGATTGATGCGAATGGTACGATCAATGGAGACAAGAAAAGCGGAGAAAATCTGACTACAATTGAAGATTCAACTAATCTTTATGATACGTTGAATAACATAGTCCATGATTTAACGACATAAGAAGATAATATAGAGCTTTCAGATGATGCAAGCTCACCTCTACAATTATCAAAAGCTAAGAGAAACCACCTGGTAATTTTTTTAGTTTTAAAACCATTTTGAGTCTGCAAATTTAGTTGACAATTTTTTTATATATCATGATTTATTGAACTTGTTGGTTTAAGGGAAAGCAAGGAAACAAGACAACTGATGCAATTCCATCTCAAAATGAAAAGAAAAGAAAGGCAAATCAACATGTAAGTGTATGCGTGTTCATTCCCTATGTATTCTCTAATTATTAGTGCTTGTGGTTAGGTGATGGATAACATTATTGTTTCGTGGAGATTAATATGACCAGCTTCTATAATTATTTTAATTTTTTGTGGTAATCTTGTTTTCAATTGTGGCAGGAGGAAGATGAAACAGATTCATTTGAGAGACTTATGGCTGGAGTAGATCAAAAGGTTCGATCAAGAGAGGATTCAAACATGGGACTTCGAAAGAAAGACGTACTCAAAGCCGGTCCACAATTTCAGTTTCCTTATGTGGCCGCCAAACCAGCGGTAAGAGGTCGGGGTAGACAACAAGGTCCTAAACAACAAGGTACTAAAAAAGGCGGTCGATCAAAAAAAAAGATGATGATTGGGAGAATAAGGTACAATAAACTTGGATATTGTTCGACTAGAGTTTTAATCATTTCATTATTTTTGTGTTTATAATTTGAAAACTTGATAACTATAATAGTTTCTCTTTGCCCGAAGTTCAAAATCAAAGAAATTGACACAGATCCGGTTGATTCGCTTCCAAATCCCGTTGAGAATTTATGGACGTTTCTATTTACTGAGAAGTTTCTAAACAATACTCCAAGGTAAATTATGACTTTTCTATAATAGCAAGTTCGGTTCTTTCACCTAATTTTAATACATATTGTTCACTACTTATTGCTATTATGTAGCACTACGTTGGTGGAGTTTGAAACATATCAAGCAACAAGATCAGAGCTTTGGAGTTTAGGTGATGGACAACATGTTCATTCAGGAGTGAGTGTTATAGTATATCATACATAAAAGTGAAGGTAATTTTTTAGTAAATTTCTAATGATTAATTATGTAGGTAATTAATCTTGTTGTTGCTGGGTTGACACTGGAATATCGGGACAATAAAGAGAGCGATCATTGGTTTATGCCCTGGTCATTTACTGTGAGTCTCCATACGCTTTTGAAATTTTATATGTTTTCATGTATTTTTATTTTATTTCTGAAGTCTTTTATTGTTCATCTAGAATAACATTTTAACGTGGAGAGAACGTCGAACTACCGAGCAGCTAATTCAGCGATAAAAACGTCACTATATGGGAGACATAGCTACTTGTAAGCAGGTTAGAGATACTGCTTCATTCTCGTTGTGTACTATTTTTTAAGGAGTCGTATTTTTGTATGTATGTATGCATATCATGAACTGAAGTTGACATATGTTTTTTTCTTACCACTTTTAGATTTATCTCCCCATATGCGAGCATGAACATTGGTACTTGGCCATTGTTAACATGGAAATCAAGGGGGTATATTTGCTTGATAGTTACGCTCTAAAGGACGATTCTTCCCGTAAAGATAATATAAGACAGATAGTAAGTTCAACAATTTGCCTGTGTGTCAAAGTTAGCCAAGTAGTCATATTCATTTTGTTTTACAATTTTTTGATTTTTAATATATCTTCTCTTTTTAGTTGTCGGTGTTGGATGAAATGTTGCATCATGATAATTTTGAAGCAAAAGTGAAGAAACCATACCATATTTGAAAACGTTTGAAGTGAAGTCAGTTCCCGTCCTACAACAACCCAACACGTAAGTGCTTATTTTTACCCGAATTTGTATTTGAAATATTATATTTTTCTTTCTTACATTCTAACACGGTCTTTTCTAATATATAGTACTGATTTTGGAGTGCACGTAATTCAGTACATGAGATATTCTCCCAAAAAATTTAGCGACGTCGTAAGTATCATTTTGGATAACTATGTTCGGTGCATTCTAATCTTAGACAATTAATGGTTTCCTATTTTGACTTTCTTATGTAGGTATCACAGATGCATGGTTTGGCTGCTCGAAAGGAAATAGTTTCATGGCTATTAGTGCATAAACAGAATAAAAAGAGTGAAGGTAACGTCTGGGGTGCTATGGGTATTGTTCGTCAAGATCCGGTTTACATACAAGAAAACAGAGAGGCAATGCGTGAAATAAAAGCTTTGGATAAATAATCCGAAGTGATGCTGAGGACTGCAAAATCTTTGATGTCGCGTCGGATGTGAGCTGGACTGACCGCTGGATTGCTGCTCGTCCTTGGGAACAACAGCCAGGAGATTAACTTACCCGGTTACTGGAAAATAAGCTACAACACTCCATGGAAGCAGGAAAGGTGGAATTGGAGAGGCTAAGAAGGAGCAGCTGGTAGTGGCATCTTAGTGTGTTCTTGTTCTTGTTCTGGTCTCTTTCATTTAATTTTGTGATTATGATTTTATGAGTGGTGCGGTATTCTTCTGCTTGTGGATGCGCGGTATATAACTGTGAAAGCCTTGAGAGTTTATTTGGTTACCTAATTTTGTGAAGATGTTCGATCCAAAAAATGACAGACAAGGGGAATCAAAATCACTTGTGCTCTTAGAATTCCGGCTCCTCGAATGATTTGAAGATGAAGATAAATCTATTTAACAAAAGAAACAACTTAAATGAGACAAACCATAACCAAGCAGCAGAGCAGAGTTGGTTGCCTGTTGTGTTCTCAAATGGTTTAGCCTGCAGCCTTTTCTGTTGTGCATCTCAGAAAACAACAACAACAACAGAAAACTAAAAAGAAAGGTGTAGTGTTCATACGAGGAAATCGGTGGGGAGGGGAAAAAGAATCAAATGAATCCTAAACTGTCTTGAACTAAATGTGGGGGAGACTGAAATTCACATTTATCCAGGTTAAAAGGAACCTAAACATGTAACTAAGTTAGTTACTTGGACTTCGTTCTACACATATCAAGCCATAAAACATTCATTTCTCAAATTAGTAATTTCCAGCCATTGAGATGAGCGCGAACAGCAATGTCCATGTCCTCGACGGTTGTTCTCTCGAGCCATCCACCTGATTCCTCGAGGGCCTTGATTCTCCAAACCCCAGCAGTTCCATTAAATCCAAAGAAATTCATGAAGACACCATTAACTTGCTGTTCAACCTCGAAGTGGAAACATAGATTGATGTTTAGTAAACGAGTCAGCAAATTTTCATCCTTGTTCACAAATGACCATCTCGCCTGAACCAGCCCCAGTTCAGGATTGTCCTGAAATAATAGGATAAACAAGGCAAGGCAAACTTGAGAACACATTAACAAGATCCTGTCTTTCGGCCAATCAAGCTGGCAAACTGCAGAGATCGACTGATCATACACCTGCCAACAACCCAATATCGATCAACACAGTAATTTCCACAGTAGCCACTGTAAACTGAGTAGTTGCCATAGAAACCCAGCAGCCACATGAGAAAAATGCAAAATGCAGGAGCAAAGGAAAGCTTTAAACCAGTAGAAGAAATCAGTTGAGTTGGAAAATACCTCTCTCTCGTTACACATTGGAATTTGAACAAGAACCATGGGGCATTTATAATCCAATGCCTCAATATCTGGAGACTTGAAGGGATCTCCTCCTTGAAACTTTCTCAATAATCCAAGTGCAACAATACGTCCATCTAAACTTTCTCAATAATTGCACAAGAAGTCCATCTAAACTTTCCAAACTACAAACTACTTAAAAAGACTATAGCATTCAACAAGAAGTCCATCTAAACTTTCTCAATAATTGCACAAGTGCAACAACATATGGCCTGTTACCAAGAAAAATGGCATAATAGTTCAATAGATAACCATAAATAACGTTGTAAAAACAAAGTCACGAAGACAAAAGATTGATGAATAATCTTGACAGTTTCAACAGAAAACAGAGAACTAGGGAAGGAAAAAGATGAGCCATCATGTGCATGTAAAGCCTGCCTTTTCACAGTAGCAAACTTAGCCAACCTCCAAAAGACCAAATCTCTTCGTGTCATAAATCTACCACCGGATTACTCTGCCATGCAAAATAAGACGAGGAAACTTAGTTTTATACACTCTCCTAGACAACCAAAGATCAGAAAGAACTGGTACATACCTCTTGGGCATCTAGTTTTATTGTGATCAGGCCGGCGACATTTAGAGCATTTTCTAGGCTTCTTTGAATTCGGGGCAACACAGGCTGTCCCTTTTGTCTTCACGATGTCTGGATCTCTCACATCCCTATATTTTCTTTTCACAGGGGTAGGCATGCTGTCATTCATGAGTTTTTCAATGCCACTAGACAATCGCGTAAGCTCTGTTGATGCTTTATCGAAGCAAACTCCTGATTTCGAAGCCATTTGAAAAATTTTGTAAGACTTTGCAACTAATGCCCCATGCCGCATAATTTCGACAAGCTTATTGTCTAACAAACTTGGACCTGCATCCGTTGAACCTAGACCTTTCGCCTTCTTTGTCCACCGCAATTTGAAGCATGACTGAGGAATCGCATGCATTTCTCTTAATTTAATAACATTCAGAATATGCCGACATGGTATACCCATTGACTCAAACAGTGAACAGGAGCATATAACCTTGTCTTCTTTGGTATCATACTCCACAATTCTTACCCGGGAAGACTTTGACCATTGATGGAGCTTGAAAATCTCAAAATCTCCTTCCTTCCTCATAGGCTCGGATAATAGATAGCTAGTCTCGCCTTTAAGTTCCTCCCTGAAAAGTTCAAACATAGTTGGAGTATACAACTCTTCAGCTTGCTTCTCATAGCCACGTAGGACATGAGAGCACACTGACTTTGAATTGAAGGCTTTGAAATCATCCTTCGACTCATTAAACCGTAACTTATCAACCATTCTTTCATATCTTTTCACAAATTCAAATAATGTCAACTTCTTGTCCACATACTTGTTAATGGTGCTATTCATTCCCTCGCAACGAGATGTAGTTGCCATGCCTCCAAAGAACCTTCCTTTCAAATAAGCTTCACACCACATATGACGATCTGCATATAAACCTTTCACCCAAGGATGCTGGTCCAACTTTTTTTCTGTAACTAAATGCCGCCAGCTTTCTTCAAATTCCTCAACTGATATTCTGCTCTTCATGAACTTATTAAGGCCTTGCAAAAACATCAAACCCAGCTTCAATTCCCCTGCATTACGATCTATGTGCCAAGAACAAAGACGATGAGCAGCTTTAGGAAGCACTTGGGATATGGCTTGGCGCATCGCTTTATCTCCATCAGTGATGACCGACAATGGCTTTATACCTCCCATGCACTTCACAAATGTATCCAACAACCATATGTAACTCTCACTCTTCTCATCTTTCAAAAATGCACATCCGAACATCACCGTCGGATGATGATGGTTTACTCCTATGAGCATGACTAATGGATTGTTATATTTTTGCCTCCGGTAGCAAGCATCAAATGCTAAAACATCTCCAAACAATGCATAGTCAGATCTAGAAGTCGAATCTGCCCAAAACAAGTTACCAAGTTTATTACCCTCTTTCAACGTATAGTCGAAACTAAAGCTTGAATCCGCTTGTCCCCTTCCCTCGAAGTATCCGATGGTAGTATTTGCATCACCACCTTTAATCTTGTTCTTTCGAATGGCTTGGAATTTATTCTCCACATCTTTCGGAATGAAACCCATATTCTGATAGCCTCCATGTTGTTCCTTGCAAATCTCAGTAATATGTCGTGTACTTACTCCAACTGTACTCAACGAATCAATCAAAGCTTCATCACCTTCTTTGATTTCACGATGGGAACGCAGAAGATGTACATACTTGGATGGCACCAACTTATGATTGTGAGCCGATACAAGTGACTTGACAACCCATTTTCCAGTGTCGCGATCCAGATTTACACGAATCATCACTTCACAACCTCCCCTAGTCAATCGCCGAGGCTTGCGTATACGAGCAGCATAGTTTAACCATTTTTTCTGACGATAGCCCTCCTTTGAGCACACCCATTTCTGCATTAGCATTTGTCCACTACGCGACTGTCGCGAATCTCGTTTGCGAATGCTAAAACCAATTTTTTTTGCATAAGCATTGTAAAACAATTCAGCTCCTTCCAAGGTATCAAAAACCATGGCTAATATTACTTCATCAGAAGGCATAGAGACATCGGCCTTCGTACCTTCGTCTTTTTGTAGAGGATTCTCAACATCGGCTTTCTCTGATTTTGCCATCGGAGAGGTAGAGGGGAACCCAACGCAGTTGAGCTGAAGGAGAGGGTGGAGGTAATTTCTTGGTCGCCTTGTGGAGGCGCGGACGATTGAGAATCAAACGATTGGAGCAGGGGCAGGCCGAGTCTTGTAGAGGAACGGATGTCTGAGCTAAATCGAACGACTGGAGCAGGGTAGGCCGAGTCTAGTGGAGCGCTCTCGCCGGGCGTCTTCAATCTCGCCGGTAGAGGGCAGTCTTCAATCTGCCAGTTGCCTTCAATCTCGCCGAGTAGAGGGCAGTGTAGTGGCGTTTATCTGATTCTCGCCGGAAACCTAGAATAAATTCTGGGGATTACGGGAAAGACGAAGAAGAAAGATGGGAAGGGGAAAGGAAGCCCGACCCTCACTTCCTTGTCTCCTATGATTCTCGCCGGAAACCTAGCACTATTCTGGGGAGTACGAGAAAGAAGAAGAAAGATGGGAAGGGGAAAGGAACCCCGACCCTCAACTCTTGTCTCGTATTTTTCT